TTGTGAAGAGCTGAAGCTCACGTATATAAGCAAGTGTCACAAAGTCATTTGTAATGGTCCAGCTTCATTACTGTGCCCATTTGCTATTTGCTGGCGTCCGCTGTGCTGGGTCTACAGTTTTTGGTTTTGAAACACAGCCCCACAAAAATTGCGAGCGTATTAGATAGGACCCAGGTGCCAAATTTGCTGGTTCCTCTGCGGTCACCACGAACATGAAGCCCAATTGATTCCTCTACAAGGACCTCCCTGGTTGCTAGGGTAGATAGCATCCAAAAGAGGGCCCCCAACTTGTTGATGCTTTTCAGTAGGGAACCAACAGGCACTTCGGGAAGAACCGTTTGGGACCAGACCTGGGAAACCCAAACAAATGGCTCAGTTCCAAGTTATTCCCTCTTTCCCAGCCAGGCTACCCATGCACTACTTCAATTCGTTGGCCCCTGCACCTGAGCGCCCCACTCCTCCTCCTCCTCCTGCCACAGCGAGAATTGCCATGCGAATACCCTGAGTCTCTCTAAGTCTTTCCTAGAACGAGAAATCTCCAAACGGCTAGGGGTGCCTTTAAAACCAGTCCAAAAAAGGGTTCCAAAATACTTGGATGCAGAATTCGATGTTTCTGGTTGCTGGTCAATGAATGGTTTCTCTGGGTTACCTACTCGTATGATCTCTGCTTTGAAATTCGGTTGTTGAATGATCCTACAAAATAATATGTATATATGTATAATCAAATTGTCTGTCATTGTTTGTTTAGCCATTGAATAAGAAGTGAGTGTCGACTACGGCGGCAGCCATGTTTGCCGTTCATTGTTGAACAATGGTTTACTGCCCATCTACTATGGTTGCAACTCATTGCTTCTGCTCGTGCCTTGGTTGTTGAAATACTTATCTCCGTTGCCGGCTATAAGGGCACAAGTATTCAATCAGTGATTTGTTGAATGGCGTCCCTCCGTATCCAACTTCCGTGGCAACTCTTTGTGTCTGACTGTTGCTGAACCTGGGTGTTGACATGTTTCACTTCGTTGTTTAGTCCAAATCGTTTTGCGTTTACCGCTGATGCCTTCTCTTCTTTGTATACCTACTTTAAAAGCCAACAGTCGTCAGCATTTTTTTCACAGGCTGTTGTATGGTTTCCTCGATAACCCCGATAGTTGCAACTGGCTTTGTCTGTTTACCTCCGGATGCTTCATGGTCGTTTGATTACTGCCTGGATTGTTGTTAAAGACGCTGGCAGCAATCAGCGGCCAAATACGGAGGCAGGGTCTTTGCAGCACAAATCAACCCTAATCTGTGGAGATCCCAGCGAAGATATTCGTAGCGAGGCCATAGCGCCTTTAAACCACAGCCAGCAGAAGATCGGCATGGAAAATGGTGGGTGGTGGGTCAAAGGTCGATTTCATTTCAGGGAGCCTTTTGGACCCAAACTGGTCCTGCCCTTGTTGCCCAAACGGGCCCGCCTCTTGTCTCTCGGCAACTGAATTCATTGTTGCTGCACCTGCGAGGGCGTGCCCATGGGTCAGAAACCATGCCGATCGCATTCCCAAAACTCGGAGGCCCGATATGTGAAGCCCTAGGGAGGAACCTCCGCAGACCAAAACCCTTAGGTTCTATTTGCCCACCGGCGAGTCTTGAGGATCCTGGTCCTCAGGGAACACCTGAGTCGAATAAACATGTTTGAGTGTTTCGACACTTCACCACCCTATGCGCCCAAAAACCGCGGATTCTTGGTTCTACCAACATGCTTTTCAGCAGATGGCCTGTATATGGGCGTCTTGGTCTTGGGAACTCTGTTCTGGCTTTAAAGGGAAACCAAAAAGAATCCCACCATGTCTTGGGGTCGCCTGAAACAAAAAAACAGACCCATATTTCTCACCCCGCTCCCAGCCGGCCAGGAACCGAACCAGCTAAAAACACAGCCTCCGCGAATTCGCGAGCGTAGGTGTCAATTGCACCCCCCAAACTGGTGGTCCTTTCCTTTTGGTGTCCCTTTGAAACCTGAAAGGGTACTGAGCCTCGAAAAAGCACCGGCCCTAATCTAGTATTGAACTTTAATTGGGGACCCTTGAGTGGACAAAAACAACTTTCGGGATCCACCAACCCTGAAGGTGCCACATGCTCCGAGAAGCTGAGCATGGCGGAGGTGGCGTTTCTGTAGTAGGTGCCCTCCACCATGTCTGCGACCACCTGAAAATCAGCCGGAAGCCCCGGAAGCCCCGGTGGCCACGCGGACTGCGCTCACTCACTCAAGCTATCTCTGGTCTGTATATATTATAGTATATATGTATATATATGTATATATTTCTCAGGCGTAGTCTGAAGCCCTACTGAAAAAGAGTCTCTCAGGTCAACCATGGGCGATTGGTTGCCAATATTGATCGACCTTTTTGTTGGGGCCGTATGGATCTTCCCACCAAGAAGAGAGGAATACTGTGGAATACTGATCCATTACTTGGTCGCCTTTCAAATCTGATACAGAAAAGTCCTCAGGTCGATGGTCCGAAGAAAAAAGGCCTTCCTTCGTCTTTGGCTCAGAAATGCTCTTGCGGCGTTGTGCCACTTGCTTGAGTCCATCGGGCATTAATCATCCACATGCCCAACCGTGGTTGCCCAAATCATGTATGGCGAGGAGAAAGCCCATCCGCAGGATGGGTTTTCCCTCCAGAGATTCACAGGCTTCCACCTCCAAACTAGTGGACCCAATTGAAATGAAACTTCTTACCAACCCCCACTGCTTTGGTGGTCGGAATTTCAGACAAAACTCCGCACGCATCGAATCCGAGGCGGCCGCGAGTGCGCAGGTGAGAGCGTACAGCAACATGATCCCCGAGATCTGACTCAGCACCCCCAGCAGTGCCTGAGCCACCCGGGAAAATGGATGCATGTGCGTTTCCTTTTGTGTGAGGCTCGGTACTAGGTATCCGTGTTTTTGGGTTGGTAAGGGAAACAAAAAGGAAACATGCCTTTCTTCAGGACATGGGAACATAAGCGAGTCACCAGCTTGGAAGCTTCCTGATCGAGTCTCTGAATGTCCCTGACCGAACACAGGTCTTTCTAGACGTCGCGGCCGCAAGCCGCAAGCTCCAGTTTTCAAGGTGCCGCAGTTTTGCTTTTGCTTGCGGCTGGGCCCTGGAAGGCTCCAATTTTGAAGGTGGCGCGATTGTCGCTTTTGCTTGCGGCTTGGATTTGGCAAGCTCCAGTTTTGTTTTTGCGCTATTACACAAATATATTAATCAGGGTATTGGTTCAGCCCAGTTCTGAATGACTCACACCACTGCCTTGCTGCAACGGCAATATCTGACTCCCGTCCAAATCGCCTTCTTGGAGGTTTGGAAAAGCTCTGAGCATTGCATTGGCTCTTATAGGCTCCCATCCACAGCTCCTGAGGCGCCCGGCCTGCTGGGCTCGATTAAGCCCAGACCAGCTGTTGGAGATCTCTGAAGAGTCCTGTCTCAGCCCATGGAGAAAGCCGCTTGAGACTCTCTTTCAAGAGAAACCAGTGGCTTCACCGAACATATGGAAAACAGCCCCCATGTTGGTTGAGCTCAAATGAAAACCCGCGGACGTGGATGGACAACATCCTGCACTGGTTGGCAGGTGTGTCCCAGTATTCATCAATCCCAACTGAGTTTGTCCACAGCAGTAGACTTGCGTATTGTGGAAAAAAAACACAACTGAGGGGCCCTTTGCAGAAACCAAGGAGCTCCCTCAAAGTCCCTCGGCAGGGCAAATTACTCTTGCGATTCAACCTGAAAGCAAGGAACTCTCTTCGCCCGTGAGGCCTCAAACCAAAACCCTTGGTGAGGTCGAGCTAATTTGCCTCGCAGCAACACACACACACACACTTTTGGGGGTCTGTTGTCCTCCCCAATTCCCTTTGTATGGATGACCAAACCAACATGAGATAATTGTGCCATCTAATTTTGCCCATCTGTAAACCCGCAGCCAAGGTTGCCCTCCGAGCGCGGTCCTCGAAAAGCTCTAGTAGCCCGCCTTGTAGAATCCACGCAGCGATGCTACCCAGCCTCCCGACACTAACGAGCCAACTTGTACCGCGAGTGGAGTCGGATCATCCATGACCTTGCCAGCAAAGGGGGATCCTGGCCCAAATCCGGATTTGCGGATCCACCCCTTTCTGGGAGAAAACATGGGCATTGCCTCTTGGAGTCTCTGCCACTGAAGACTAGGCACTTAGCTCACAGGACACGTCGACCGGGAGAGGCTTGGGCCAAAGACCCACAAATCCAAGCGGCCCAAAAATCCAAGCGTCCGACCAATTGTACCCCTTGTATCCCTACTATATTATTTTCTTTCGGTCTGTGTCTGAATGGTGAACCCCTTTCGCGTGCGTTAAAATGGTGAAGCAAAAGGAAATCGGCAAGATTTGGAAGGCCCCTATGTTTGCACAAAAACAAACATACTATGTTGTGAAGGGCATTGCTTCTGCCAGGGGGCTGTGATTTGCTCGCAAATGGCAGCGGTGGGACACTCAAATTGCAATGCGGGTGCTCATGTGGCGCCTACTCATAACTACAGGAGTCTCTTGCTCTGCCCTCTCGATGTTGCGACTATCTAACAGGTTAGGGGTCTGGGATTGCCACGGGTGTCAGCCGTGTCCGTCAATGCTGAGATTTGTTGTTTTTTTGTGCAACTTGTTCGGCCAAAAAGAAAAAGCTACGAGAGCTGCGCTAGAAGTTTGTTGACGTTCCGCCCCCTAGTTTGGACAGTTCCTGAACTCCTCTCGAGTGACTGACGCTTAGGAGCGGCGCCTGTTCAGCAACGTTGCCTATGCTGGTCTCCTTCCAAGTGATGCAGCAATGGTCCGTTTATATAACTCGAATTTCCATGCGTCAGTGTCCACAGATATGCACACGTTCAAAGCGGTCCGTGTTTGCACCACACTCTCCTCACTGGAAGTGGCACGTCAAGAAGCCGCATGTCAACCAAAGTCTGGCAATGTTGCAATATGATTCTCCTAGTAACTAGTAGGAGCATCACATACGTCCTTTTCACACCTTTCCTTTCCCTCCGCGCCTGGGAAGCACCCGCACAAGGCCTACCATGATCAGCGCAAAGCACTGATTGGTGGCGATGATGTGTATGGTGTGCATTTTCGCCGCGATCATCGCGATCGAAAAGTGCCTCAGGGGAGGAGCACTTGGAGGCTCTCGAAACTGGGAACAGTGGAAGGCAGCTGTTGGGAAGCTTCTCAAAAGGTGGACCCCTTTTGGATTGTATTCAACGAGAAACCCAAAGCTTTCTCATTATTTTAGGGACCATTTTGAGAACCCGCCGCCCCCAGTTCAGAAGTCCAGTCCTATCTTGTTGACCCTTTCCCGTCACGTCGCTCCAAACCATCTGGCCATCGTTTTCTGTTTCTTTGGCTCATCGAGCCCAAACCCCCCCGTTATACCAGGATTTGGTCACTTTGTTGGGCTCCAAGCATTCGTTTTGAGCGGAAAAATGGATATGAGCGGAAACCGGGTTTTGAGCTGTTAATCCATTTATCCCTCAAAATGTGCAGATTCGATGGGCCCAAGACTTTTCAAGACGTCCAAAAACACAAAAATGGCCGAACCTCTCGGGAATGGGAGGGGAACCTTTCCTAAAAATTGCCACTTGTTGGGTGTCTTGAAGGCCAGCTGAACGGAAAGCCACCCACCATGAATTCGGTCTCCCCCGACAGCCCGATCCGGGGCCCACACGTCCGCCAGGGGATCTTTCTGAACCCCACGGAGGAAGATAGGCGCGCCCACTGCAGGAAGACCTGGGATCATTAAACCAGCGCCGCAAAAGCAAAGAAACTTGTTCTTTTTGTAGCCCACCACAAAACAAAAACTGAACAGCATATACAGTAGTGCAAAAGCAGTGAAGCCAAATTTGGACGAGGACTAAGCCTACCTTGGCGAGTTAAAGCATCAAACGGAATACTGCCGAAAACATCCTTAACCAAAAGGCTTGCAAGGGCGGAAAAGCTTCTGGGATCTACTTGAGGCCTTTCCGACAGGACCAACGTACCCGATGCTTGGAATGCCAAATCGGCCTCTTTCCATCGGATCCACTTGAGGGGCCAAAGATCAAAGTGTGCTGTGCGTGAGGGGGACATTCAGGTATGGGTCAACATGTCACCACCAGGACAGAAGGTTTAGTCCTTTTTCAATTGCCAGGGCAACCCATGTTGGGTACATGTTTTGACCCACTGCCATTTCTGAAGTGTGTTTCTGCATAGCTTGTGACAAAACAGCTTCCGCTTGAAGCCCAAGAACGTGAGACCTTTTTCAGCCTAGCCCCATCGGCCGGCTAACGCATCGATGTGCACAAATCGCGAAGGGCCCCAGTTTGGGCGACTCAAGGAGACCTAAAGAAAAACACATCATCATTTACAAGTGTTGACACAAACACACATAGGTGTCTCCTACAATCAAGAATCCTTGGGTGTTGCAGCAAAATGTCGCAAGGGGGGCGCTCTTCCAAACCGACGCCCCGCCCCCTAACCGTCGCCCCATGTCTGGCTGGGACCCTGGTTGTTCTTCGTGTACATTCCATCAGCGGTACAGGTCGGAGCAAACAACTCTTCCCCTTTTTCCGCACACCGCGCAAGGCGTAAGGCTGGGATTGTAAAGCACATAAATCGGGAAACCAGCAAGCTTACCTACCTAGTTGTGGTTTGTTCCCTCTCAGTTGCTTCCAAAACCCGAAGAAAATCATTGAGGCTACCCTTTCTGCAGTGGCTCATGAGGGAAACCAAAGCGAAAACCAGTTTGCGGGCCCCCTATTTTGAGACAACACTATTCTACCCTTAGCATCTAATCATCGAGGCCAAAAGAGCAACCATTGATCAGATATACATGGTGTCACTTGTACCAACTTGTACCCACAAACAAACATGGGAGGCACGGCCCCCCTTTCATACATTGCCAAGTGCGCAGTGCTTCCAGTTACTGTAGTAGACAGGGGAAGCCATTATGCAACACCTAGAGGCAAGAAACCCTGGTTACCTACTATAGCCATAACAGGAAGCACTGGGATACATGACCAAGGCGACGGAGATTGAGGAACCAATCGTCTGCGAAAAGGGCACGCAATGAAAGCTGCAAACTGTCTCATTCAACCGAGCGGCGTAACCCAGCTCCACCAAACCCTGCGTGTGCCGTCTCGCCTGATGGCAAGGGCATGTCTCACCACGCAGAACCACAAACAGGCACACAAAGGATTCCCTAAACTTCCCCTTCAAACATATCCCACCAAAAGGAAACTCCCTCTAAATTGACCCAAAAGGAAACCGCCAAAGCGGGGAAAAGCTGGAGAACCCTGAAGAAAGGATGGGTAGAAGGAGAAAGAAGGGAGGGAGGGAGGGAGGGAGGGAGGGAGGGAGGGAGGGAGGGAGGGAGGGAGGGAGGGAGGGAGGCAGGCAGGCAGGCAGGCAGGCAGGCAGGCAGGCAGGCAGGCAGGCAGGCAGGCAGGCAGGCAGGCAGGGAGGCAAGGAGGCAGGCAGGCAGGCAGGGAGGCAAGGAGGCAGGGAGGCAGGAAGGCAGGGAGGCAGGGAGGCAGGGAGGCAGGGAGGCAGGGGGACGGAGGGACGGAGGGACGGAGGGGCGGAGGGACGGAGGGACGGAGGGACGGAAGGACGGAAAGGGAGGGGAGGGGAGGGGAGGGGAGGGGAGGGGAGGGGAGGGGAGGGGACGGGAGGGGAGGGGAGGGGAGGGGAGGGAGAACAATCCGGGCGAAGCACTTCAATTCCCAAACCCGAAAACAGAAATGCTTAAGGAAGAGTCCTTCACCATGGGTAAGCTTGGGCTACGAAACACCACCCCTAATTGGAGAGCGTCATTCATGCAAAGTGGACAACTACAGTCAATACTCCTAATGTCTCCAACTGATTGGGTGAGGCACCATAAGTACCTCTGCCATTCTGATGAAACTAGGTGAGTTTCATCCTGGCTGGATGTGAAAAGAGCCCAAGAAGGCTGGTGCTGGAAAACATACAATGTTCCTGCTCCTCCCACATGCCTGCAAATTCTTGGTCATTGTTCAACCCTCGCGCTGGGATTGTTTCTGCTTTTGCGCACTACCATCATCACTTTAATCAAAGGCAAGGATGTAAGAACGGTATCAAACGTTGACCCACAATCGCTTCTCAGCACAAAACACGAACCCCTGACCCCTGCCACCACCCCCCAAACCCGGCGAGTCAGGGCTTGGCTGGGCTTGAGTTGAGCTCAGCTGGTAAAGGAGCGTTTGTGGTGTTTCCCAACAAATTGGTGATTAGTTTCTTTTCGCGTTCACAGCATCCAGCCAGGTTCAGGCCACCCCCCCCCCCCAAGTATTCAGCGCCCAGGGGTTCTCCAAAAGGGTGACCACTGGGCCAATTCCACTTGTCTAGGCTGCAACACGCCAATCTCTTCACCAACAAATGGTCGTGCCCCAAACCCCAACAACTGCTTTGTCCCATGTCAACACCAGCAGTGGTTAAAAAGTTGTTCAAGTGCAATACCGGGAGGGAGCCAACCCACCAAAAGCCAGCGAACATCCTGCCAAGAGGAGCTTCCAACGTTACAGGAGTTGACCCTGCTCGCCGTCTCTCAGGCAACACACATCTCGTCTGTCTGCTTGGCATGCACAACCACAAAAACAGAACCGGCTCGCCACGAGGAAGCTGGTAAAACGTCTCGAGATCTATGTGCTTCGAGGGCACCCTTGAAGCTTCTTTCAAGGCCTTTTTGGATGTCCCCCATTGTATTCTTTTGAGGGTACCGCTGTTTGGTTGGCTGAAAGGGAACCCCACCTTTTTTGGGGGGGTTTGCAAATCCCTTCTTTTTGAGTTGACACCCACTCATAAAGTTAGAGACAAACAACCCAATGAGCTCCTATATAGTTGTGACGCAGAAATTTGGCAGGGAAGCCAAGGGCTTGCCAAAGGATTCCATTGCTTGCTGGTTATCGGTCTCGGGAATGAATAGAAAGTTGCTCAGAAATCAGAAACCTTGCTGGAATTGACAGGGGATATCAAAAACCGAAAGCAGTTCAGAAACCAAACAGCAGTGCTGGTTTGTTGCTGAGAGCCTGCAAGTTTAGTCTCACGAAGCACATGGCAAGTGGAATTCTGTCAGGTCCCTCAGAACATCACAGAAAACTCACTTTAGATTGCTCCAAAGTTTTTGAAAGCCTCCTTCAAGGGGCACTATGGGTGTGTCCTTTTCGGAGGGTAACCTTTGTTGCGTTGGTTTAAAGGAATGCCAAAAGGAAACCAACTTTCTTCTTTTTTTCTTGGGGGGGGGGGTCCGCTATTTTGAGACGAACCCGAATGGCTGTAGCTGACAAATAGGTAACAACTAAAACCTGTGGTTCACTGGTGGTTGAATTTTGACCCATACCCAATATCGGGAGCCCTGTCCCCGCCTGCTGGAATCTTGCAAACAACGAGGCGGTGTACCCTTCGGTCGACTCCACCAAGTATGACACCGCCTCAGCAGTGCCACGACTTATGTGGGCGTCTTCTTTTTGACTTACCCTTTTCAGGGTGGTTTTGATTGGAAACCAAAGCGAAACCCACGTTTTGGGGGTTCCATTATTGTAAAGCGCACCCATGTCTTAAAAGGACCCAACCATGTTGGTTTCCCAAACCGCTGTGTGCATGCTTGTGGAAAATACCCCTGTCCGTGTCACCACTGTGGATCATCCTTATGATGCTGTCGTTATAGAGGGAAATTCCGTTGGTCTCGCAAATAGCGAAGCTAACACCCGATCTCCTACAAACATGTGGGTGGCCTCTCTTTCTGTGGAGGCTACCATGTCTGAGGTTGCACTTTTCCGTCGCGGGAGTGGCCCTTTCGCTGGTCTCAACAGAAGCGACACTGAGCTGGACACCGGACAAAAAATGGGCTGCACCTGGCCGCGCTTCTCCGCCGCTCCAGAAAGTTGCCAACAATCCTATGTAGCAAGCCCGAAAGGCCAAAATGCAACACAAATTAAACATATTGAAATTGTTTGATGGATGATTAGAAGTAAGCTGAAGCCAGCTTCGAAGCTCAAGCCGAAGTCAGTCGACCTTTCGGAAGCACATGGGCAGCTGAGATCCATGCGCAAAAGAAAATGAAGGAAACCCAAAAGGGCGAAATGGCAAAAGGGCCAAAGGTCAGTTTGTTTCGCCAGGCGATCCATGCAAAAACGATCAAGTCGCCATCAGTCCAAGTCTGTCCATCCGGCATGGCGAGACGTCACAAAGTGCCGAACCCGGCGCCTTCACTTGAGGAACTAAATGAATGGTGTCGTTCACCTCGCCGGCGACTTTCACATGCTCCTGCAAGAGCGGTTCTCGAAAGGGTGTCAAAGTGCGCGTTACTAACGCGCACTACGGCAAAAGAAAGGTAGCGATCTACTGAACAAAGCCAAGAGGTCTGTGACCAGACCCACTGACCCCAAGTCACCAGGTACGCAAAACCTGCCATTCGGATCTTCCTAAACGTGTGACCAGGCTTGTGCGACCATGGACAAAGCCAAAGCCGGACTTGTACACTTGAATCAAACCTACTGGACTGGGACATTCAATCCTTAGATCCAGGTCAAGCATTTCAAGATCCTTTGAGAGCTAACCGCGACGTAGTAAAAGTGAACAGCGCGAAGTGCACAGCGCGCCGTGCACTCACGAAATGTCAACCAGCACCTCAACTAACTCGCCCTACTTGCCATAGCACACACCTGACGCCAAAACAAGCAACCAAGCACTGCCTACAACGAACTTTCGGCTTTCGCTCGCAAGAAGCATGCCTACCAGGAGTGATGCCGTTGCTGCCCAAATCACAATGGAAAGCATAGAACTTCCACAAACACGTCTTCTCTCTAGAGGAACCTTTGTCTTCGGGGCGGACCCTTTTTGTTGTTTTCCATGTTACCTTTCAGCTCAAAACTCGTAGACAGGTTCCGCCGCTTTCGCTCGCGCCTTCTTGGCATGCGATAGCTCCCACAGAGCCGCAAAGTAGCACTTGCAATACATGTGGTGGTCCTGGCGAACCGATTTGTGACTCGAGTCATGTGCCTGCAGCTTGTTCGGCAACTCAGTGTCCAATCAGGTGGGTGCGGCCAATAGGAACCCCGGCAATTGGCAAGGTTCCAGATTCATGTCCCTTGCGCCATCCACGAAAACGCTTGGGCTTGCTCCAAAGCAGCCCGCCATGCCCGAGAGCCTAAAAGTTCGAGCCAAATCAGAAAAAGCCATGGCCGACTAAATAGATCTCATATATTGGGGGCCATGAACAGTTATTTCATCAGGACCATGCGTTGTATTGTCTGAATGAATGCTCTCCTAAAATCACTCGTTGTGTGTGTGTGTGTTTTCCTTAGCCCAAGCACACACACACACAGAGAATGTGTCGTGCTTCCGAAGCGCCTCTGCAATGACATCGACATCCCAACCATCCACTTCGGGGTGGGAAGCCAATGCCAATGACATCGAGTACCTCACCGAAGGGGCGCCAAAGGGGTGGCACTTCCAATCCGCAGCTCGTACCGAATCTCAGGGATCACACCGGCAACACTCACCCAATATGGGAAGGGTGTAATTGATTCTGCAAAATGATGCAACATGTGTAGCCATTTGTACATGTGATGACCAAACATGGATCCCGAAGTAAGCGACCTCCATGACTGGCTGATGACCAAACGTGGATCCCGAAGTAAGCGACCTCCATGACTGGCGGGCTCGCTCCACCCCCAGTGAAGGATTCAGACAAACTGCAAGACATGACCAGCGCGAGACAGGACACCTCGCTCGCGTGGTCCTTCTACCACGATTCACGATGATCCACTTGTGTACTTCCCAAGTGGAGCATCGAGCAATGTTCCGAATTGCCGCTTCCCAAAAGTTTAGCTTGCTACCGAAAACTGGTGGACTGTGCTATTGGTTGCAGTCTGAAGGCTCTGCTAGAAAGTCTCGGTGCCTGCAAACGCACAGAGTGGATAGCGCAGGTGCCCACCGAAAGGGTGAGAAAGACCTGCTGCATGTTGAAAAAGGGGCTCCATGTCGACGCAAACCATCATCACTTGGGGCAAGCTGTGTTTTGAGCATTGAAAGTATTATTTTCCCGGAAGGACAATCGGGGACTCCACAAGCTTGACATGTTCTTCCGGTTTTCCCTTTGCACACCAAAAGGGGAGTCGATCCAATTTTATTTTTGGGACCTCACAGAAAAATGCTTGCCCACATCAAACCAGCTTTGGTCGACCAGGCCGATTCGAGCCGCTTCGCCCAGGGCACGACGAGTAAGCAAAGGCGGGAAAAATATGCTGACTCGCCAGCGTCGAGAGCTCGAACATCAGCCTCGGATCGGAAGTTCCGGAACTTGAGGCTGCGTGACGGCAAAGAACTACTGACTTTGGGATATGTATGCGTGCGTGCGTTTGTCTGTTCTGAGGACGCCCTCTCCACCTTGATATTAGGGGAACCAATGGAAAATCACAGTTTTTTGGGGGACACATCCATCCCGATGGTGACTGTTGAGATGAACCAGGCCAAAAATGAATCCAACACACAGCCAACAGGAACGTGATGCCTCTTCCGTCAGGAATCCACACGCTTCTTTCTCACTGACTGCATGATTCAAGGACAAGTAAAAAGGCACAAACCCGGATATCATAACCAGACCCAAAATCACACCAACGTCAAGGGTGCACGCTTCCATTTCTGCTTCGGACGCTTGCAGTATCCAGGTGTTGGTTGGAAAAGTTTGGCAGTGACAACAGCAAGTCCTTGGCGGCGGGCACCACATCAGGAGAGTAGGGTTCTGGATAGTGTCCTACTTCTCGGTATGTGTCGACATAGGGGTATTCCGAAAGTGGCGGTTTTCCGTTTGTTTTCCTTCGAAGCAAACCCTTCTGTGAGACCAACCACCTTCAGGGCTCATTCCCATGGGAATAGGTTACCTGAGCCAGTCATGGCCATTGTTGCTTTTAACTGGAGAGGCAATGCAGCACCTCAATCAAGATGGAGGCATCCGTGAACTGCCGAAATATGAGTCTGGCACAACCGCCGATCTGTCAAGAGCAGATTTCATGGATGCATCCCTCTGGTCCCTCTCTGTACCCCTGGGGCTGATTACAAAAGTGAAAAACAACATAAAACAACCCGTTCGACAAAGTGCCCAAAGAGTGCACCGGCTCGTTCCGTGCTGACCAGCAGCGCAGCATGCGAAGAGGTGCGCGTCAAAGCAGGCACAGAGAATATATTCCGAACCTGGCGGTTGCCGTGCCCAAGCGGCAAGCGACGTTTCATCCAAGTGTGTGACGCACAAACGGCCTGCCGTGTTGGTCGCCTGACTGAGCCTTCACAGGAGCTAGCAAATTGGCTAGCAAATTGACACAATCCACCAAACAACCGAGACAAATCACACCAGCTGACGAACTGGCCAGGGCGTGATCTCAGCAAACCCTTGCTCGCTTCCAGGGTCGGCTCTACCCCCACTATTTTGGAACATTCGTCCTCTGCCCCTTTTGAGCAGTGAGGGAGGAGACATGAGCCTAGAGGGATATTGACATGAAATCATGCCAGCCAAGCAAGTAGAACTGGCGGCTGCCAGATTGTCCAAGAGCGTTCTTCCTTGTCCATCAGCAGTCCTCACAGGCTCTGGCAGCTGACAGCTGGCGGCCCGTCTGCTCCGTTACCCCCTCACGGCACCTGTGGCTAGAGGATGTAGTCAAATCGGAAACCAGGGGAAAACCAAACTCGCTGTCTACCCGGGAAGGTTGATGAAATTAATTAGCTCAGGAAAACACGAGTCCGGACACGCTTCCAGAAAAAATGCAGCCCACAACTGAACAAGGACTGCTGTTGGTCCCAACTCCCACGTCTTATGCAGCCAATGTTTGACTGCGAGGTGTGACAACCACGATCATGCTTCATTCTGCGCCAAACATGGAAGCTTATCATCTGCAACTAGTGCTCGTAATATCAATACCCTATCCTCTGTCATCCTTCTGCCACAAACGAGGATCAGTGTAAGCTGCTTGTCAAGTTTAGAGACAGTTTTTCGGTGTTTGCTTCCTCCCTTTTCCAGCTTCACATGAGCCATGGTCAAAATTGCTTGTCTGCCCAAGAGGCCATGGAAAAACATGGGCTGGCCCCTAGTTTGTGTGGTATATTTAAATTTGTTGAGCTCTTGCCCCCATGTCGCGAAAGGCAAATGGCGGCCGTCCCCCATGTCCCGAGCAGGGACCTTCGATCATGGCATGGCGAACCGTCTCTCTTCCGCTTCCTTGATAGGTCATGGCGCTGAGGTACTGCGGGTGGAGCCTCGGCAATCGGTTTTGGATCTTTGCCGGCCAAGTCCGAACCTGAGAAGGGAACGGAGCCGGTGGGAGAAAAGGAAAAAGAGAAAGGAGAAAAGGAAAGAACCCTTTGGTCCTTGAGATATAGATGAAAGAAGCCATATGTCGGATAGTGAGACGCCAACTGCCTCCGTAACAAACTCGAGGCTCCATGTGGCTCCGATAACATGAAAAGGCTTGGCCAAGCAATAGCCATTGCTACGTCTGACAACTTTTAAACTGGTACCCTCAAAAAGAACAACACATGCGAAACATGTCCCGCCGCTTCCCCACACAGATTTCGAGAAAGTCTGTGCAAGGACTTAGCCATCATGTTAAATGCTGTGTTTTCGGTTTGGGAGCGACACTGTGGACCTCTGGTACGTGAAGCGGGAGGCGAAGGCACTCTTTTCTTGGATCCTGAACACCTGTCGATTTAACGGCTCTGGTGCAGCTCTTCAAACAAGAGTTGAAGACCTCGCTCGGAAAAGCCTGGAGTCTCATGGAATGGGAGGATCATACACTCTTTTCGGGTCGTGACAGGCTTTTCTGAAACAAACGGGAGACGGAGACAGGTTGCTATCGCCGCGCCGAGTCCCGCGCAAGGTATCTGCATCCGCCACAGTCAGGAAGACCCGAGACCTTGAAGTGCCAAAGCCCCAAAACCCGAGCTGATACTTGGTTTGATGGTTGTCAAGGGTTGTGTAACCCTTGTTCTCCTTGCGTTCAACTGTGAGAACCCGCCGTGGCTAGGAATCGGCTTGGGACGCAACTCAGTCAAACAGGTTGAAAGAACTGGTCCATGGTTTGCTTGCCAATCTTACCCTCTCACTTCCTAAGTTAGCCCAAAAACGGCCCGAACTTTACGATGGTTCCTACTGAGATGGTTTCCCTGGCTGCGCTTGTCAGCCCTGGCTGTGAGAGGCTTCGGCACAGGGCGCCTAATCAACTTGTCAAGTTGGTAGTAGCACATGGACAAAAAAACAGGGTACCCTTTTCGAGGCTCTTGAAAGGAAAGCAAAAGGGAAGCCACTTCTTTTGTGGGGGGGGGTTGACACAACCACATGTTCAAGCGGGCTGGGGTCTCAAATGTTTGTGTTGACATCTCAACCTCGGGAAGATGTAGAGGACAGAAAGTCCAATGAGGGCAAAGTCCAAGCCAAGGGCAAAGTCCAAGCCAAGGTATGAATTCACCACTTCATGTGTTTGCAGTGTTGAGCTCGTTGGCCGCTGGGTGCATTTTGGAAAACTCAACACGGGTGTTATGTGTGTGTGTGTGTGTGCGCTTGTACTTTGAGGGAAACCACACATTTGGGGTCACCCCATTTGGACGCATACCCACGCGTACAAAAAAACAACGAAATGAGAAAAAAAAAAGCGTTCCTGATCTTTGCAGTTTGCAGCCTTTCCATCTCTGGCATGGTTGCACAAAATATTCCTGTGATACCAAAGTGGGATTGCCATCCCCATGACTCATGACTTTCTCTGTTTGATGAGGGGGATTGCCTTGGTAGCGCAGAAACTGGCCCTAGACCTGATTTGGCCATGTGTCACACTGGGGGCATCCCTAAAAACTGACTTGTCTATTTTTGGTGCCTCAGAAATAACACCCCCATTTACCACAGCTGTGAAACCATGATCTGCAGCACTGAGCAGCCACACAAATCTCGCTTGGACAATGAGGTCCCATACCGCCTAAGAGCCTTCGCCCGAGCCGAAGCAAGTCGCAGAAATGTCTCACGGCGTCTGGAAACCGGTTGCTCACTGCCAGCAAAGCCAGAGGCGTTCTTTGGCGGAAAACCATATCAAACAAGTCTTCTGGGGGTGAATTCTAATTGGAAACCATTTGTTGAAAATTTACATGGGGATTGAATCAACCATGTTGGAGGGGTTCCCTGTTGAAATTCATAGTCATACCAAGCCAAGTTTTTTTTGAATTCTAATTATTTTATGAATCAAAGTTGACCAAACCATCTCGCTTGTGCATGCGTGAAACGGGCAACAATCCGCTTGCGATTGGCTGCTAATTCCCCCTAATCACAGGCTCCGTACGTAGCTTGCAACAAACTGGAACTGCAGCCAGTGACTTCCCTGGGGCTTCTCAAACAAAGCCAAGGTGAAACGAAACAAGTAGGCGAGGCCAACAAATGCTCGGCACATTTCCAAGCAAACAGCAGAAAGGTATGCCAACCCCTCTACCCCGTACCCCGAGAAATCACGAAAGCTACTGCTTGGATTTCATGGTATGCAGAACCCGGGAACCGGTCCCCATACCACAACCCGAGTTGCTGAACCGGGGTGTCAAAAGGACATATCTTGAGGCCCCAAATTCCATCAGGATGCTTCGGGTACCACGGTGTCTCGTTGGTTTTCTCATACAACATTCAACGGATCGACCGGAGCGCTCCCAAAGATCAACACCAACAATCATCAAGCCGCCCTACTTCTCATTTACTCAAATGCCCAGTTCCCGTGGTAGACAAAGGAGACTTTGTGTGTAGTTGATCATCTTTGGGGGTGAACCCGCCAAATGAAAAAAAAAACGTGCCACTGGAGAGCTGGGTTGGTTATCCGTTGGAATTGGCCGATGCGACTTTTGCGCACCCGCTCACTGGCAAGGCCAGCCAGGCTGGTGCCAACCCCTCCTGAACATATTTAGCTCATTTGGGTATGTGTTCCAATACGGGACCCCACCCTGTAAAAACACAAACCCATCTACAGCAGGTCCACTTTGAACAGGGTTCCCCATGACAGCTTGCTGTTTAGTCACATTCCTTCTACCTCCTTGGAGCGGTGTAGGGGTCCGTAATTCAATTTAATACCTGGTCTTCTCCACAACAATAAAGCGGAGTGCCGCCAATGGGCTCCCAGGTTTGAATTCCCCTCCCTCCCCCCCGACTCTCCGGCGACTCCATGGAAGCACCAAAAAGGAAGACCACAATGGAGTCGTGTTCCAACAGAGTCCCAAGAGCTTCCATGTTTCCTCTCCTTTGGAAACACATGCACCAAATCGTCATGGGTCCTGACTCTCCGTCCTTGCAACCTCCGAATCGATCGAACGGATCGAATCGGATTTTGCCTCCCGGAAGGCCCATTGGGTGTTGGAGGACTTGCCCGCCACCTCCCCCGGCAACGCCTTGATCGCGAATTCCATTGGCGAGAGTTGAGTCGCGGCGATGTCTCGTCGTTTTCTCGAGTTCAGGCTCTGGAAACCCGGAGAAACCTGGGTTTGGGAGGCTAAGGGGAAGGACATCAGCAATCTGCTCATGCCAAAGTCTATGGGTTCTTTGCCAGAGATGGACCCCTCCAGGCAAACGCACCACCTACTTCAGCAATAGAATCGCAGGAGTGCCGGCCAGCGGCTAACTTGGGACTAAGTTGAACAACTGCCAGTGACTGCCGCATAGTGACGCATAATATACATAGATCGACGTGCAGGACCCATTGATACACAAAAGTTTGCGCGAGCTTTTGTGACATACAAGTGCGCGCGTAATGGCAAATGCAAACACATGCAAACACACGGATTGCGGGGTAGAGCTTCGGCTTTGCACACTTTTTGGAATTGCGCCCGAGTTGCGGAAAACTGCGCCCGAGTAGCGGGAAGTTGCGCTGGAGTTACGGATTCGTTCTCTCTCGAGCACTTCACCAACGAAGGTAGGCAACCTTCAAAATGCTCAGGATGACGATGAGCTAGGCAGTCCACGTGCAGAACAACTAGATGTTGGAACGACCGACCCCTTAGATCAAAACGCCATGCACCACCAGTGTCATACAGAACACCAAGTGGCTTCTCTGCTCATGATTGTTTGAAGCCAATGACAAGCTCATAGGCCTGTCACTCTGGACCAGTGCTTGATGCTGTCTGTTAAGATCAATGCTCCACATCGGGGCTCGCTCCACAACTCATGATGGCCCAATAGTAGCAATGTTCGCGTCCTTTGCTGAGAAGTGACAAAACAACTCCCGAGCCTCCAATAGCCCCAACCTGGATGCGTAGTTCCAGCCGATGGGTCCAGATCACATGCCTTGGTGCCCCACCGGTGGGTGGTAGGTGGCGAAAGCGTCCGCGAAGAGATGTTTCTGGGCACGATGGCAGAGCGAGAATGGAGTCGTGTTGCGGGCCGATGAGTTTTGCGTCCTTAGCGCCCAACTTGGTCTTGCTGGCTATGGCTCCCCTGTACAAGCCTTCGTGCCCAGATTTCAGGACGGACACGCTTGGGTGTGTTCTTTTTGGAGGGTGCCCTTGTGCGTTTAGAGTGAAACCAAAGGAAACCCAACCTTTTTCTTGGGGGGTGACACAACCCATATGGACACCAGCACGGCAAGCATCACGTCCGTCCTTCTCTGCGAGGATTCGCTCTGCCTTGTCTCGCCCAGCCTGCCCTTCTCGCGCCTGCGAGTAGAGTCTGCGTTCAAAGGCAGCAGCTGGGATTTCTGGTTTCTCGACTCGTCGTAGGGTTTTATCCATCTCACTTGGTGTGCTTTCCGGGTTTTGTCCAACTATAAAGAATCTAAAGATACAAGGGAGGCCGCCTTTCTGGTTCGGAGTGTCTATCCTCCGGACTCCCATTTATGGCTGAAAGGACCAGCTATTGCCATAGCCCTCACTTTACCAGGGTACTCCTCAAGTCGGGAATAGGGCCAGCAAAGATTTTTGTGTGGCCACTCCCGGCCACAATCTGAAAACAAAGAGGTGCAACTTGCAGTTGCTCCCGGCCCGACATGTCACCAGCCCTTTGGATCCCATTGCTTTCAATGTGTCCCCTAAAACGACGATCGCTGCACGCAAACCCCAAGGTCTCCTCCATTGCGAGCACCACGTGCACGCAAGTTCGAGCTAATCCACTGCGCGCCAAGTTGTCCAACGTCTCCTGCGAACGAACGTCGACGTCTGCATGTCTGGCTCTTGCGGCTTGCGGTATCTTTCGCACCGCCTGCGGAATGGCCGAAACCAAACTAATCTCCATGGCTCCTTCAACATCCTCTCGTTCTCCTGGAAATTTGGGAGCAGCACGATGTGCTTCACTCCGACTTTGGCCTCGCAGGCGGAAAGGAAGGGAAAAAAGCAGGCAGTCAGACTCCAACACACACACACACACACACACACACACACACACACACACACACACACACACACACACACACACACACACACACACACACACACACCGATTAAGGGGTTTGCGAGCATCTAACATTGACGGGGTCGCTTAGTTGACGTCACAGCTCATATCACTTGCCGTCTCTCACCCGCCTCATCTGGCATTTCATGCAGCATGGCATGCCAATCGACCGCTGCGGCCTGTCAGAAGTGCAAATTCTTCCAGGTTTGCCATGGGGGCATGTCCCAAAGTTCGGAAACCCCTTTTGTTGACTGATGTTGACAGATCGAGGAAAAACAACTTGTCTTAAGACCAAAAATTGAGAACTCCTTCTAGATATGGGTGCCAAAAATGGCTGGTTTCCTGGTGGTTTCCCTGAAAAACCGACCAAAAGGGGGCCCTTAAAGAAAGATACACCCATATGACCCATATGTGTCTCACGGCGAACCCAATCAAGGGTTCTCCTTTCAGTTTCCCGATTACAAGGATACTGAGCCTCAAAACGAGCCAGGTCGTTGAACCCGTAACATGAAGGATCCATGGTGCGTCTGTGTTTGAGGCGGACGGTTGACTTTCTGAAGGTGGTCTTAAAAGGAAAAAAGGAAGCCACTAATTCTGGGGGTTATGTGGCTTGACACGCATTCATAACGCATATGATCGTATTGCTCATCCAAAGGTTCCCCTTATATAATGGGGCTCATTGAACATCCCAACTGAGCCTGAAATACATTTGGACACTTGTCAACGACATCGGCACAAAGTCAGTTGGGATGGATGAAGCCCTATGTGCATGTGGGATAAGCCACCAATTCCAGCTGGCGCTGATCGAGTCGCGTGGATTTTGCCCCTCCCATGCGGCTCATGGTTTTGGTTCCGGAATCCCTATCACTGGTCTGAATTCCGAGGTACATGCATTCCCTCGAGCTAAAACGCCGCAAATCATATTCAGATTCTGCTTCACATTTAGTCACCCTATTACAAAAGAGCTTTGAAGACTCATTTTCGCCCTTGGCATACATGCGTTTTCTCCAGTGCTTCAACTAGCGGTGCCTGAACCTCGGATGTCGGTTGTGCTTGAATTGCAGGTGTCGGTCAAAGTAATAAATTGAGGCTGCCCAGTGCCCACGTGTTGCTTTTCAAGGGGCGACAAAGAGGAAACCATGCATGCAATGGGCTTTGGGGAAGCCACCTGCTTTGGGGCTGTTCCACATGGAGCTAAACAAACCGAATCGAATAGCTGACACCTCAGAACGCGCCTGGCGCATCTTGAAGACCCCAGCGAAGCCTTGGGACGACTTGGTTCCACCCATCAGACCCTCATCTTGGCCTGACCAAGGGAATACACACAGGAGGTTGCTGAAACAATGGTTTCTACAGGAAAAACCACGGCTGGAAAATCCAACCCTTGCGCCCATGGAAACCAGAGCAGGGTTGGGAGATCACCTTTCAAGACCCAAAGAGAGGAATCAGGACTGAACTTGAGCAGGTTGCATTGAAGACTGGATGCCGATTGCCTGAGAAGGGCCGATTCACTTTGGAAAACGGGAGTTGGCTGTCGTTGGTTTGAGCCCCCTCCCAACCACTTCAGGATGGGTTCTCTCAGGGAAACTGCCTGTTGGGGCCTGGTTCTTGTAAGACACGCCACTCACACTGACTCGCAGCGTTGGTTGCCTTTCGAAGCCCTGAAGTAAAGGGACTCAGGGTTTCTTCAAGGGGTTCCTATACTATATATGATTCCCAACAAACAAACAAACAAACAAACAAACAAACAAACAAACAAACAAACAAACAAACCAGTGAAGGCAAGCCTTGGTCCCCAGGGCTCGTCTGGATGCCTTGCCGGGCAGCTGGTGATGGAAAGATTGGCAATCCATAGCCATGTGATGAAGGTGAGACCCGCAGTGATGACGTCCGCCACCGTGGGGGCAAAGAGCACCGACAACAAAACCTCGGTCCAATGCCTCCCCTCGTACAACCGTGTGCGTGTGTGTGTGTGTGTGTGCGCCTGCTTGTGTGTTTACGTATGTTCGGTAGTGCAAACCGAAAGCACACTAGAGGGGACAACACCGGGGCTCGTGGTTTGTGTTCGCGGGCGTGGCACAAACTCTGCGCCGCAATGTACTACTGCTGGTGTACGAGCAATCATTTCGGGAAGTCGTGCCACAGAATTTGAGGTCACAAGGGACATGACGGCTCGCGGACACACGAGCCAAGCAAAAATATGAAGCCCATCCCCGCGTCCAAAAGCATGCCAGATGCGGCAAGACAAAAGAGGCGCGCCATACTTCAACTTGATGTTACCAAAGTTGCAATCGGGCATGAGTTACATGACTGTCGCGTGCAAGCTATCGGAACTGGGCTATTAGAACCGGTGAGTTCGGTGCCCTGAGCTTTAGATGTCAACATTGACCAGTATTCAATTAACGCTCTCACCCGGCAGCTTCCCAAGGTTAATGGGTGTCCTTTTGTAAAGGTGCCATTTGTTGGGTGACTTTAAAGGGAGACGAAAGGAAACCCACCAATTTTGAGGCACCATAGGCACCACTATTTTGAGACAAACCCTGTCGTGAATGCGGCATCGCCCAACGTACCCAATGTTCATGGAGAAAGGACACCCATGTTTGTGATCTTACTACTTGTCAGCGCTGAAGCAAGGGCCCTGTCTTCCGGGCTGCTTCTTCAGGTACACGCCAGGAAATCCCCCCCCATCCCACGCTTGGGCCTGGGCTGTGTTTAGCCCAAAAGCGTCACCTTTCACGTCTGGCAAAAGTAGACATGTACAATGGAAAATCAGACCAACCTGCTTCAGGTTTCCACTGGCTTCGGCCAGCTTTCGGCCAGGAAATCCATGTCAAAATGCTTTCGGCATCCCAGTTGAAAGGCGGCCCCGGCACGGCCGAGAAAAGGCCGAGAACCCGCCCAAAAAAAGGCCTCGGGCCCCAGCGCTGGCGTAGGTGGCGAAAAGGCAAATGGCCGGAGCCATGCAGCAGAGCCAAGGCACTAGCTCCACCTGACGGGGCCGCAGGGCCCGCGCGTGGGTTCATCCCCCGTGCCAACCAGTGGGTCACAACCACAAGGCGATACTTGTTGAAACCACAATCCAAATGCGACCTCACAGGTGTAGGTCTAAAAATCCATTTTTGACGCCAACCATCCCTACCATCCCAGGTAGGGTGGTTTGACTGGATCGCACATGGGTTCATGCCGGATGCGGAACCCATGGTTGTCCTGTGCCAGCGACCACTTGCGGTATAAAAAGTCAAGGAGTCCCCTGACAAACTCCCATCAACCTCGGTGGGTTGGGCCAACGCTCATCCTTTGGTTCTCTTTCAAGGGGCCCAACTCTGGTCAAGACTCCCATTCAACATGCAAAGAGGTTGACGGAAGGTGCCTCTGACAGCGAGATGTGCCGCCGCGGGCCAGCACCTAAGTCGCCCACACCAGACCTGCCGCGACGGCTTCGGCTTGACGTGGGACAGCGGTGTTTTGGTTGAGGCTCGGTACTCGCTTTCGGGGTTGGGTTAAAGGTAAACCAAAAGGGCAACGCCGTTTTTGGAGTCCCTCTACTTTGACACGTAGGTGTGCAAAAAGCCGCCTCTTGCATTCCAGCGGTGGACAGAGAGGTCGCAAACAAAACTGTCCGCACTGTGCAAAGCAAAGGACTCAAGCAGCTCAGCCTCTCAAAGGGTTCAACTAGCTTTGACATGTTTGGGCCTGTCTCAATTTTTGTTGGCTTCCCATGACCGCATTTCAACACATCTCAAAACATCCCAAACCGAGGTGTCCCATTTAGCCAACTCATTGACACATGCAAAAAGCCCTCGGGTGCCAAATCTGGACTACCGCTGCTTCCCCCAGTCCCACATACTATGTTTGATCATGACTCATATTCGGGTGTGTGCTCCGAAATAGGACACGCCCATTTAATGTTAGTGAACCTCATAATGTAAAAACTAAGCACTAACTTAAAAAACCGGCAGCTGCTAAACCGATTTCTCTGGGCAAATTTGAAGCTCCGCAACGGCTCCCTTCCAACCCACCAGGGTGTGTCTTTCTTTAAGGTAACCCAGTGTTGGTTGGTTCTAACGGGAAACCAAAAGCAAAAAAAACACAATTCTGAGGCTCCCCAAATGGTGCCAAACAAACCCTTCCAGCCCCGGACGGATCCCAGTCTACCAGCTCCGAGCTCGAGCCGCGGGGTCGCGCCTCTTGTAGGTCGCATGTGAGGTCAATGGCGACCCCAGCGTGGACCTCAACATGTTCATGGGCAAAGCCTGGGGTCCTTTAAAAGGAGAACCGTTTGGACACCACCAGGTTGTGTTCCATAGATATGTTGACACAAACCTAAGGACCTGCTAATCAGCTTCCCTCTAAAAGGGTGGATTGGTGGTTTGGAGGTGCTCAGAAGCTGATTTCCCAAATTTACCCTCAAGAACCAGAGATGGAAACCCCTAAACCCAAGGGCCGCTGAACTACTGGGGTTGACCAACAACTGTGCAAAGACTCGAAAGGGCAAATAACCGCGCCTATTCATGGTTCACTTACCGCTGTCATAATTGGCACTGCGTCTGGCCTGTTTGGCGTGTTCCAGCACCCGCATGGGTTTTTCGGCATGAGAGAAAGCAGTCGTTGGGGGTCCTGCTCGCTGCTGGTTGTGTTTTATCGTCTTCTTGATTCTATGAACAAGTTCGCGCGCCGAATAACTT